GTGTAATTAGTCGAAATGGTACTTCGTAAGACTAGTTACATTAGGAAGAAAAAGTGATGCTTGCTGAAATTCCTCCTTTTGTTTTGAAAGAAACTAGCCTTGGGACAGTTTGAACTATTTATTCCTATCATCTGTGGTTGCAATACCACCTTCTCTTTTGTGGTATTTCATTAATTTCGCCCTGCCGACAGTCAGCCGACTTTTGACGCTATGGGATGGTGTTTGTGTTGTGGTCAGTAAATATTTACCAAGTCCACCTTCCAAGCGGCGCATTTACTGTCCTGTTTCCTCGAATTTCAAACTTTTTGATCAGTATCTCATTCGTTGTGTTTTGAGTAAAATTCTCCACTGTCTCCCACCCTGTGGTTATTTATTCTGGCACAAAAATAACGCCTTTGTTTCGCGGTTGGGTGTGAATATCTTAATTGTTGGTAGACTGATTGGTCTTAAGTGCCGATTAGCAAGTGTTTGATTGCCGTTATGGGCTGTTAAAATGTATGCACCGCTCAGGACCGTTTATTCGTTAAGTGAAAATTCGATTTCTCCCTTTTTTCATATTTAACTAATTCATCGGTCGATGTTGGATACTGTTTGCCAGTCATGGAGTACTCTTCCTAAGGTTGCCGAGTACTCGCCCTTTTATTGTCTCCCTTGTTAATAATGCATTAAAAAGTCTGCCTATACTACTAGTGAGGTATCAAATCATTACCTTTGCTAATTAGTAAGTGCTGTGTGGGAATAAGTGCCTGAGTGTGCTCGAATACGTTCTTTTTGATAATTACATAGCCGACTACTTAGTGGCTTCCTATCACACGTTGGCCTACTCTCAAAATGGCCAATCTGAGTAAAATTTCTACATCAGCAGCAGTAAACCCTTTCGTCTGATTAATATCGCACTTACCGGAATCAATGTGTTTGTAAGAGAAGATAGAGACACAAATGTGATTCTTCTTATACTTTAACATGGCATGAAGTTTCATTCTCTTCACCTGTCTTACTGTCAATGTCATAATTACTTAAGTATTCATCCTCTGTCCTGTTTGATTCATTGAATTTTTGTGGAAACTTATTAAACTCCATCACTAAATTAGTTCGTTGCGCTACCAAAGCCTTATATTAATCCCAAATGCATTTTATATCATCTGTTGCATATTTGTCATGCTTGAACTATTCAGTGTTTAGTGAAATCTTTCATGCAAGTATTTTTTGGTCTAGTTTCGAGGATTTCACTGAAACATCTTGATTATGTATAATTTACTCGTGCTTTCTCAGGGCCTTCACACTTTTTTTTGTTATTGTTAAGTGGGAAACTATCTATTTCAGCTTCAAGTCCAGAGCGCACCGATGGGAGGAATGGCGCGGAATCCACGGTTTTACCTTCCACCTCAGAAGCCGAGACAAACGGTGCTACCAAGAAGGATGAATCGAGGCAGCCTAAGAAAGCAAAAGTTGAACCGGAACCAGCTTCCGTACCTCAGCTTCTAGCTCCTCTGCCCTCTCTCAGCAATGATGTAGCACTGACGACGTCAAGTTTTGTGGCTCGGGGCATGGCAAGAGCGGGCGGCGCAACCACCGTGGTTCCCTCTGTTGTGCCCTCAGTTCTGCCTCCCACTTCCACCACGTCCTCGACGTCCAGTGCTTACGCGCTGGCGCAACACTTGGCCACGTTACAGCAGCATCAGGCCCTATTGGCTTCTGCCGGTCTCATCCACTCAGCTGATGCAGCTCACCAGCAACAGCAGCAGCAACTCTTCGAGCACTACAAACAGCAGCATCAACAACAGGCGGTTGCGGCAGCAGTAGCTGCGGCACTGCTTTTGCAACAGCAACAGCAGCATCAATTGCAATTGCAACAGCATCTACAGACCGTCTATGCCACCGCTCTCCAGCAACAGCAGCATCAACAAGCTCTTCAACAACAACACCATCAAGATGGCAACCAGTGATGCTGAGGAAGTTTATGAAGGAGAAGCATTTGACTCACGCTCGGAGACTGTCTCCCACATTGTTTCGTCCCTATTTGATATCACTACCGTACCACTTCTTGAAATCCATGCCTTTTGTTTTATGGTAGGCAAAGGTAATGCTAGCTCTCTTACCAATCACAAGATTTACCCCAAGCAGCTTCTACATTAAACTGTCTGGCGCATTGTAATTTACCGGTGGTAATGGGATGAGAAGCATTGTGACGACGTAGGCTGATTCCTGTTCGATGACCTTGTGTGTGAGCTTTGCGACACTCCAAAACTGATGTGAATTTCGCACCTATTAGGAGTTCACGCTATTTGAGACGGCAATGGAGCTCCGTCAGGTCACTTATTCACGCTTGAGGGGGATTTGTGACTCCTCACGAGGAGTGCATGATTCGTTTTCTGCGCCTGGGTTTGGCCTCTAGAATCCCGACTCCGAAAGGCTTATTTAGGCCCTTCCAGACGTCGCAGAAACAACTTTTATCAACTCTGCCGTGGGGTAGTGGCATACATCCGGGAGGTATAGGGGGTTTACAATCGCCTGATGCTTATGGCATTGCATATTTTAGCTTGTTGGTAGTTGGATTCAGTGAATCACGCTTGAGATACCTGAATAGCTCGATGAGGTCTCAGTGTGATGAGGTCGAATAGGTCTTACCTGGTATCGGAAAAAGTAACCTTCGGTTCTGCCTCTTCATTAGGGTTGTTTGTTCAAAATTTATGGGCTAGCGTCTCTAACCATGGTCCCGACTACTGGTAGTAACAAATTAGTCATCGTCCAATGGTGAAAGTAATTACTACTTTTTGTGCCCTCATTCTGGCAAATATTAATTAGATTCAACGTAATCTACGCCTGTAATCTTTGGTTTCTTAGCGTAACTATGCCTCCCAAATGGTGCTCCTAGTGATTTGAGTGAAGATGATAATTTTCAAAGTAAATGGATTTCACCAGGAGGCATATTCACATGAGAGAGAAGCATCAAATGCATTCTAAGACAGAGATCACTTCCCAAGTTATTTTGAGCTTATGACTATCAGTAAGGCCTCAACAAATCTAGCGCCCCAATATCCTATACACAGATGAGGTATTCAAAACTGCTGCAAATGCATAACATTGGACATTCGACCTAATGCGAGAAATTAAGCTCAAGCTAAAACTTAATCCCGATTTGACCGTACAGACGTACAATTTTACTCTAACATTATACCGATTTGGTTACACTGGATAGACTTTTCTCATTTGTCTTTTGTCTCCGCAAATTCTGCATTCTTCACTTAAAAATTTATTAGAATGCCTAATTTTACCACGTCATATCTGATGTAGAGAGTCCCTTTCTAGTTCAATGACAAATCACGCGTATCCAGCCCTGTACTGTGAACTTAGCATATCCAGTGGGATATCAATTTCCATTTTTCCTCCCAAAATTTGTACCAGTTATTCATGCTGTAGTCATCTTCAAGAGCTTGGCGTTCATTTTAAAGCGCTAAGCAGCAAACATTTTCTAGGAAATCGCTTGCCTGTTTGGAAAGTTTTCCTGTCCATCGTATACTACCTTCATTGATGAATTACAACCGATTTTACTTGCCATAAGAGACTTCCACTGAAGTGTGAAGGTAGTGGGGAAAAGAGCCAGATGCAGCCAAAGCACACAGATACAAACCTAATACACGACTGGAAAGTGTATGTAAAATGCATGTTGCATATGTACAACATGCATAATTTTTACAGATAATACGAGCGCACGAAAGGAATGTTGTGCTGTGGCGCCAATAAATGCAGGTTTGCGAAGCGATAACCACTTGGACGTAACACACACACATATAAGCAGGTAGGCAAAACACTACACAATATATAGGCCGGTCATTTGCGGGATTCAGAGGACTGGAAGAGCATATGGGAACGGCGGTGTCTGCGCTATGCTTGTTGCACACATCGAGAGGCTGCAACTCAGAAGTCGCTCGAATCTTAAAATTCAAGGTTTACCACAAATTATGGTTGTACGGATTTGTGTTAGTGCAGGCAAGGAAATGTGATACTGCAAATTCTGGTCCAAAAAATAGTGACCAAACCGATAGACTTACCACCAAGACAGTTTAGAGTCGTACTCTGTTGGTTCATCCCCTTGCCAATGCATTAAACCAAAACTACAATAGAACACCTTTCAAATTGAAATTAGTTTGCAGCTATGGTCAACGTATGAGATTACTAAGTACTTCTCACAAATCAGTAAAGTATCTGCTGATTCTGACCTATTTATTTTCCAGAATATTAAACCCAATAAACCATCGCTTCTTTCCATGCTTACGTATGGGCACGCTAACATTCTACTGAAATTATTACGAGTAACAATTTCAGTGAAATAGCTCCGTGTGTGCCAGCTGGATTTCACAACCCACACTCGTAACCAGTAATCAGTGTCAAAAAATAGCATTGTAAATATTAAGACCATTGTACTTTTGCACCATTGTCACTTCCCTCATTCTTCTTATAAACACTTTGTAATGGGTCGAGTACTGCTTTGCTGGTTTTGTTGATCTCATTCCTTAAAATAATAGAATTAATGGGCGATAGATGGCTCGTGCGTCTTCATTTGTGAAACAGAGATCCGTCAAACAATGGCAAATAAAAAGCACAGGTGCCTTCGTAGTTGCATTTCTTATCTTATAAAAGGCAATTTTATAGTTTGTAACAATTTAATCTCACGCTTCCCCCAATTTTAGCCAGTGGAGTGGAAATACATAAAATTCATTAGTTATCCACTGAAGTATCATTTCCGAAAATTAATATTATGGATTGATGAAAAAGAGTTTATCTTTCTCCACTGCCACATAATACGTAAAGGCAAACTTGCTTTTCTATTGAAACTGTCTGGTGTCTTCCCGAACCATATGACTATTTTGTTGCAGCACCAGATGGTGGTATACTGTGCAGAAATGAATGCCAATTCTATGAAGATTTGGTGTTTTGTGCGACCAGTTCCTTGAAGTGGTATGCTTTTAGCGTCCGAGTCTTTTTGAAGATCCGAGAGACTACTGGCATAGCCCGGAGGCCATTTTGCCGAGCGAAAGTACAATCTGCGGGAACTCAAGTGCCTGGGTGATTAAGTGGAGTCACGCAAACTATGGAAACATTGCATATTTATTTGGCGCTTCAAAAATGTCTCCTAGTATGTTCCAAGTGCACAGGTGTACAGTAGTGCCAAATTCACTCCGTAAATAGTATTACCAGCTACAAAATCCCTCTCAAGTGTCACCAGATTATAACCCAATTTGCAACTATTTCTGCTCTCCTACACAAATTCTAACACAAGTTTTCGAGCTGAACGTGTACCCTGAATCGCTCCAAATTCCAGAAGGCACATTCAATTTTACACTTGCTTTTAATCAATACCACTACAAAAAACTCATTTGAAAAGGCATCAGGTGACAACTTTGCGTACATCCACAATCCACGGAAAGCTGATTTTCATGCTCCCAAGTGGCCATTTCACTGGGACACTGACTTATATGGCCAAACAATAGGCTAATTTCACCAACTTCCCTTATGGTAATAGCATTAAACCTATACGATTCCAAAAACACATCCAGAATAAAGCGCACTAATACCTCGACAAATGAATCATCTGTGGCACAGCACGCCATAAAAGCAAGATCCCAAGCCTCTCACGATTAGGCTTTGGTAATTGAAACAAATCCATCTTCTTGAAGTGAAGCGGCGGCCGAAGGACCACTCCGTCTTAACAACAAAGCAGATGATTATTTGCACAAGTGGGACCGGCAATAGTGCACACAGAGGCATACACTAGTCCTGCGGTACTCCAGCATCCGACTCGAGCAGGCGAGAGAAACCAAAGTCGGAAATCCTCTATTGGCAAAAAGCAGCAACGTAAAGGAATCCAGCACAGCAGTTGCATTCGAAAGGATCATGAAGAATGGGTAAAGCGAATTACGTACAAACGCCCGAAAGCAAGAAAGCCAAGCGCCCCGCAACCGTAACTACCATAAAAGAGCAGAGACGACTGCACTTCACAAGTCATAGAACTCAACACACTAAGAAGTACACAGACTACTCCAAGTCCAGGATAAAATCAACAACAGACCATCATCACCGAATAAAATGCCCATTAACTCAGCGCACCCATTATGTCTTTGGCAAAGGGTAGGAAGATCGTTCAACACATAAAAGGCATTCGAAAGCAACTACACCGTAACAAATGCCACTTTTACAAATGCGCGACCCCGTCAATAATCCAAAAACCATCCAATTTAGAAGGCCCCCAAAAAGAGAACAAAACCGTACCAAACCATCACTATTTCAGAAAGA